GTGTGTGTGTGCGCGAGAGTGAGCGTGATTGTAGGTTACATTATTTAGAATATAGATCTTAGTACACATTCATAGTTACCAAGCTTCACTGTTATAAAAAATTATATAACATTAAACTTATAGCCACAGCTCACAAAACATCCGCTCTCCATTATCCAAAATCGGCCAAAAGGCCTAAATATTTTAAAATATCAGATGTATAAAATATTCCCAAACATAATCGCGGGTGATCCGAGGTTGCTCTGGTGTGGTCTGCTCCTTTTTTCTTATCGAACATCCACCGTCCTTATCTCTCCTCCTTTTTTCTTTGTATGTAACTCTCTAGTAACACATCTATTCTTCACCAATCATAAATCCTAGATATGTCCTAATTGTGTTGTAATTTCCGTAAAACTCTTGCTAAAACAAAAAAATATCATCGTTGTTTTGTGCCCACAGATCCAATACATGGAAAAAGCGCGGTCTCTCCTTGGTGCCTTTAGTCTACGGTATCGGCTTTCCTTTCAAGCCATTAAACAGGGTGAGATACTATGTGTTGGTAGTTTGTAGCTGAAACCGTACAAATAATAACGGTCATTTTTATATCGTCCACTCCATAGTGGCTCTAGATGCTTCACAATAATACAAAGTTTCGACAGTTTGCTTAATGACACATTGCATGCATATCGTCCCAATTATTGTACAGCGGTCCTTTCAAGTATATGTATGCTATATCTAACCGTATTATACCAATACATTTGGCAATACATGTATATTTTTATGTCTATAAATACAATGTATATTAGGCTTGTCTTGCTATCCCCCTACTCCCCTGTGAAATTGTTAAACTGTTATCCCCTTTGAAGGAAAAAAGCAAAGAGAAAAATGCTATAGAAAACTAGTCACGTAGAAACAATTCAAGACCGACAGATAAGGATATAAATACAAAGGAAAGAGATTTTGGGAATTGATTGTTTTTGGAAAAGAAAAATTAAATAGAAAGACTTAAAGAATAGAGAAAAAAACAAACTAAAATAATTTTGTAAATTGTTTTTAACTGAAGAAGAAGAAACAATACAAAACAGACAACAAAAAAAAAAGAAAAAAAAAAGAAAGGAAAATATTAAAATATAACAATTGTGTGCACTGCCTGACCTCACACACTGTTCTCCTGTCACTGTGCCCGCCCCGCCTTCTTCCTTCAGGCCAATGTGATGGTCAACATTTACTCCGATGGGTCCGTTCTGGTCCTGACTGCCGGAGTGGAAATGGGTCAAGGACTACACACCAAGCTCATGCAGGTCAGAGTGTGTGTACGAGAGCATGTGCTTGTATGTCTGTCTTTGTTTTTGTATATGTACGTCTTTGTGTTTATATTTGTGTGTCTTTGTCCGTATATTATGTATAATATGTCTGTCTTTGTGTTTATAATATTATATATGTGTGCCTTTGTGTTAAGATGTGTGTGTTTTTGTGTTTGTATACATATTTGTGTGTCTCTGTGTTTATATATGTGTGGCTTTGTGTTTATAATATGTCCGTCTCTTTGTGTTTATATAATGAGTGTCTTATTTTTGTATAAGTGTGTCTTTGTGTTTATATATGTGTGATATGTTTATATCAGTGTATGTTTTTGTTTATATATGTGTCTCTTTGTGTTTATGTATGTCTGTTTTTGTGTTTAAATGAGCCATGGGTTACACACTTGCAGGTGACTAATCGTTATGCCCGAAATAAAAGCCTTTTGCTTCTCTTGAAAACCTCGTATTGTGATATACGCAATCAATGTTGAATGACAATGACGACACACACACACACACACACACACACACACACACACACACACACACACACACACACACACACACTCTCTCTCTCTCTCTCTCTATCACGCATACACACACACACACTCTCTCTCTCTCTCACACACACACACACACACACACACACACACACACACACACACACACACACACACACACTCTCTCTCTCTCTCTATCATGCATACACACACACACACACACACACACACACACACACACATATACACACGCACAGGTTATTTGATTACTTGATTATTTGATTACCTGATTCCAGAACATGTTGACGTTTGTTGCAAGTGCCGTAAAACTCTTCATATGTATACATATATATATATATATATATATATATATATATATATATATATATATATATATATATATATATATATGTGTGTGTGTGTGTGTGTGTGTATGTCTGTTCTCCCAGGTGGCCAGCCGTGGACTGGACGTGTCCCATGAGCACATCCGGGTAACGGAGGCCAACACAGCGTACGGGCCCAACACAGTCGTGACTGGTGGCAGCATGACCTCTGACCTGCTAGGCGGGGCGCTTGTGGTGAGTTACTCTTCTTTGTTTTAGTAAGGTTTTACGTCGTTCGAAAGGTCATATGAGTCGCATAAGGTCATATGAGCGACAAGAGGTGGATGTCAACAGAGAAGTCCCAACGGAGTTACTCTTCTGTCCTGATGGGAAGGGGGGTACATCCCGTGGCTACGGGCGGTTGGCAGGTGAGCAGGTGTGGCTTTGCCTCTTCTTTCCTATATTGAACATTTATTTCCATTATCTCTCCTCCTTCTTTCCTGTGTATGTTACTCTCTGCTAACTCCTTTTATCTACGGCTCTTATAATACAGACTTCAAAATAAGTTAAGGAACATCTTGACAAAGAGCCCTGATATTTAAAAATCCGAAAAAAAAGACAGTTTAAAAAAATGTTTGCTCTGAAAGTGTTAATGGATTAATAATGCGTACTGAAAAGCTTCCTAGAGGGGTAAAACCACCACGTACAGCACGGATATCTTCGGCTTATGTCGAAGTCTGTATACATGTCTTGACCTCATTTTGTTGTAAGTGCCGTGAAACTCTTACTGAAACTGACACATCTCGTCCAACCATAAATTTAACACTTCAATAGTGTATAGTTAACTACGAGATCTCCTCCCTGGGTGGTTTGCGGGTGCTCTGGTTAGGTATTCTCATCCGTCGGGGGTTGGTGGGTGCTCTGGTGATGTTTTCTCCTTCTTTCTCATCAAACATTCATTGTCCTTATCTTTCCTCCTTTTCTTTGGATGTTACTCTCAAATGATACCACACTAATCTTTCGCACTTTTATGACCTATTTGTGTTGCAAGTGCCATAAAACTCTTACTAAAACTACTCAATTTCATCTGCCTCCTGACGTCAACGCTCCCAGCATGCCTGTGACCAGCTGAGGGAACGACTGCAGCCAATCAGGAGCTCAGACCCGCTCAAGACGTGGCCTGAAATTGTGAGTTAACGAACATGCTATCTAAGCATCTTTCTCCCCCCCCCCCTCTCTCTCTCTCTCTCTCTCTCTCTCTCTCTCTCTCTATTGCTCCCTCTCGCTCTCTGCCTCTATCTCGCTCTCCCCTCGTCCCCCCCTTTCTCATTCTTCTCCCTCTCTTTCTCTCTCTCCCTCTCTTCTTCTCTCACCTCCCTCCTCTCTCCCTCTCCCCCTCTCTCATACTTTCACACACACAGGCATTCACACTCACAAATATACCCATACACACATACAAACAAATAAGCAAATAAATCATATGTGACTGGGTACTTACTTTACTTTTACTTTTTCCTTCCTCTAGTATCCTTAGGATGTCGAGGGGAGGTGCACTTTCGGTCCTGCGCTAGGTGTGTAGCGTCTGTGATAGATATGCTATGTTGTTCAAGGACCTTTATAACCCCATCCAGCCAGGGCTGTCTTGGTCTCCCTCTTGATTCAAAGCCGGATTCTCGGGTATTGTAAGCTCTAGCCACTAATTGTTTCTGGGGAATTCTGGTCAGATGCCCAAACCATTTGACTCTTTGACGCTCTATGAATTTTATTGCTGGTGGTATTTCCAGTTTGTAGACGTATGGTTTCGTTTCTTATGCGGTGTCTTCTGGTCACGTTGATGGTTTTTCGGAGACACTTCATTTTGCATGCATTGATTTCTCTTTCTTGTGCCTTGTTTAGAGACCATGTTTGGCACTGGTATGATAATGTTAGTATGAAGATGCTATTGATGAACTGGGATTTCACTTCGGTTGGGATGCTCTTGTGACTGAGCAGGGGTCTGTGGTAATCTTGTGACTGGGTAGTTATAACATCATCTTCAAGCAGAGAGCTAATCAATGAGAAAAATAACGTAAGTTGCTTATAATGTCTTTTTCAGATAAAACATTTCATATATTTTCTATTACTTTCCTTCTCTCCACTTGGCTCATTTTCTGTCCCATTCTATTTTTTTCTCAAACGAAATCTCTTTCTGTTTATCAATCTGGACTTGAACAATGATTCATTATGTTGTGTATGTGTTTATGTGTGTGTAAGTATGCTTGCTTGTCAACAGGTGAGCACAGCCTTGTCGCAAAGAGTTTGCCTGTCTGCCGTCGGAGAATTCAAGTAAGTCTCAGAACGTTTCCTGGACCAGAACTTGGTCATTCCTTATTATAGAATTATGACAGACATTTGTGCAAGTTTTGCTAGTAGAAGCTTTATGCAGTTAATAAAAGAAAGAACCCCAAACAATTAAATGCTCGTATTTTCTTACCCGAAGGTGTTTGTGTTAAGATAATAAAAGTATTTATGCAGAAACAAATTGATATAATTGGTCTAAGGGTTACTCTTGCTCCTTCTGATCTCCTTTTGCCCTACTTTTCAACTTCTTTCAACTGTCAAAGTGTTTTTAGTACGCGTTTTAAGCATGCCCAGCTTCTGAGTTTTTTTATTCAGCCCTTTTCGACATGTTTGATTTTACTCACCCAAAGATCAGGAATGTTTGAATCCGGAACAAAAATTCTTCAAAGTTTCCTATTGTTTACACAGACATGGAATCAAACCTGTAGAATTTCTTAGTCTCGTAATTGGGATGTTGTACTGGTAATTTTAGAAGGTGGAGGTTTGATTTTTATCTGTTTCAAGTTGAGCGCTGAGACCTAAGGGAAAAAAAACGTTACCCCATTTCTTTCCTCCAAAATAACTTCCCTGTTTAGGACCACTCAACTTAATTCACCATTGTGCCAGTTTTCTGATCCCTTCAACCTATACATAGGGTGATTGGCGATGTGGGTTGCTACTTTGTTAACTAATCAAACATCTGTCGATCTTTTATCTCTTTCTTTTCTTTGTATGCTACTCTCTAGAAACGCCTCTAATCTTAAGCACTTTTTAAAATAATAATGATCTCTTTGTGTTGCAAGCGTCATAAAACTCTTAGTAAAACCAAATCTAAACATAAACTGCTCCTTATACAAAGAAATTCGCTCTAAAGGCCACATGTCCAAGATAATCACCTGAACAGACCACTTCCCACTGGTTTAATAGCAACAACTGCCGAGAAAACATGTTTGAAGCTTCTTCCGCGGCAGCCTTTTGGTACTGGACTCGGAAAATGTGAGAGATTGGACCACGTTCTAAGAGGCTGCCACTCTTCATGTGGATCAGGAGGCTAAGACAGATTAGTAGGATGCACAGAGTGAACAAAGTATTTCTCCTGAAAACTTGTGAACTTTTATTTGAAGTGGAAATAGACAGAAACTGGGATTGGACATTGAAATGCAGGTCAGGTATTGTGATTCGAAGCCAGATGCTCCCCCCCACTCCAGCCCAGCCCCATTCCCAAAAGAATTCACGAAAACACCACCCTCTTTGTACAAAGAATAAAATAAGATAAGATAAACTTTATTGATCCGCAAGGAAAATTTTGGGTGGATATGCGAGAACAGCAACAAACGAAGATTTAGCATCAACACAGAGATGCACTCAGTACCTTCATGCTCAATGATATAACATACAACTATCCACCACTCAGCCACGTTACGATATGTCTTCTTACACCATTCAGACCAGAGATAGGAGGCATGGACTGGAACAAAAGGGTGAACTCGCCGTTCATGTATCACTCGTTCGGAGCTGCCTGCACGGAGGTGGAGCTGGACTGCCTTACAGGAGCTCATCAGGTGGCACAAAGCAAACACAATACATCTTCTGCTTCTTTGTTGTAAATACGCTACCCAAGAATTACAAAGTTCAATGTGCTCAGTAACTAATTTTGAGAAATTTTATGCAAAAAATTTTGAGTTTTACAACATGTCAAGTTTTTAAAAAAGTCACCCCATCCCCCCAAAAAACAAACAAACAAACAAACGAACCCCAACAACCCAAAAACAAAAAACAAAAAGACAAAACAAAATAAAACCAAACCAAAGCACAACAAAATCAAACAAAACACTCTCCCCCTAAAACAAACAAACAAACAAACAAACAAATAAACAAACCCCTCATGTATCAGTACTGTTGTCTCGCCGTACACTCTCTCATCTCCTGTCCACCCGCCACCCACCCACCACTGACTTGTTCCCCCGGCAGGTTCTGAGGACGGACATCGTTATGGACGTGGGCAAGAGCCTAAACCCAGCAGTGGACGTTGGTCAGATCGAGGGTGGCTTTGTGCAGGTTAGTTCAGGCAAGGAGTCCACTCATTGGGGACTCAAATCTTTATTTAAAAAATATACATCGTTACTTCGTCGGCTAGCTGTTTAAATGTACTAAGCCTAAACTGTTGAAAATAATTTCCTTTGAAGTCTCTTAATTTAAGATATCGGTTGCTTGTACTCAAAAAAAGAAAAAAAAAAAGAAATGGGGGTCAAAATACAATGACTTTGGAATATATAAAATTGTGAAGCATTTAAGTCTAATCTGCATTGATGACATCAAACCCAAAGTAGTCCCATCTACAGCACACTTCTTTTGATAAACTTTGCGTCTTTAGCTTAAACATTGTTCGAATGAAGCTATATATATATATATATATATATATATATATGTGTGTGAGGCCGCGTGGTGGAATCAGGCTCTCGTCAAAATAATCAATGTGAAGAAACTTGCATTTTTCCCCAGGTTTGTGAATTTTTATCAAATTTTTGTTTTTTGGCTCAGCACCTTTCATTCCCATTAAAGAACTCATTTCTCATTTCTGTGTGGATTTTTCTAAAACATGTTGATTAAAGGCACAAAAAATGGTAATTTTCAGTTACCACGGACTCTTAAGCTAAGGAAATAACTTATCTTTGGCGACCATTTTCTCACTAATTTTACCTCTGAAAACAAGTGACCCCCACCTCCTTCTTTCGCAAATATCTTGACTTGTATTCAATATAAATGGATATTTTTTTCATCCGAATAAAGACAAGTGAACAAGCTTTAAGATGATACCAATAACTCTACTTGACCAAAAATTGACGAGAGCCTGATTCCACCACGCTGCCTCACATATATATATATATATACATATATCTATCTATCTATCTATCTATCTATCTATCTATCTATCTATATATATATATATATATATATGTGTGTGTGTGTGAGAGCTGAGGCTCATACAATACATGTATATACTTTGCAGGAACAAAATATAGCTGCATAATACACAAACGTATTTTATTCCTATACGCACCCCCCCTCCCAACCTCACCCAACCCCCTCCACTCACCCCCACCCTCTAACCTTACTCTTTACCTCCGACCTCACCCGCATCCTCACTTCACCCCCACCCCCTCATCCCCTCATCTCAAACGACCAGGGTTACGGCTGGCTGCTCATGGAGAACTACATGGTGTCCCCGCACGGCGCTCTCCTGTCCTCGGCGGTGTCCAAGTACAAAGTCCCCTCCCTCAGCACCATCCCGCGAGCCTTCCACGTCAAGCTGCTCAAGGGACACGGCAACCCCAGGGCCGTCTACTCCTCCAAGGTCGGTGCTGGTGGAGTTTGGTTTGGTTTGGTTTGGTTAAGTTTTGTTTAGTTTTGTTTTTCTTTTTTTTTTCATTTCTTTTCTTGTAGATGGGACAAAGAGGCTAAAACAGCACCTGGACATGGATGGCAGGTACCTCTATAAATGAATTTATTAATGACGGTCAAGTCAGGTCAGGTTTAGTCTTGTTTCATTTCGTTTCGTTTCGTTTCGTTTTAGTATACTTTAGTTTAGTATTGCCAAATATAATACGAAGGGCATACCAAAAGTATTTTACCTGACAATGAAGGAATGAAGGTAGAAAGCTGAAATTTGTTATTAACCTTAATCTTTCTCTATGTAATCGCCTCCCAAAATTATACATTTTTGCTCAGAAAACAAGCCCTCTACCTCTTCTTTGACCTCATCATCACTTTTAAAATGCCTTCCGTCTAAATCCTTTTTCAGTTTGGAGCATAAAAAAGTGTCGGACAGGGATAAATCTGGAGAATGAGTGGAAAGTGACAAAATTTCATGGCCACTTTTACGGACAGTTTCTGCAGCTTTTCTTGAAGTGTTAGCTGGTGCGTTGTCGTGAAGCAGCAAATGCCTTTTTGGATCTTTCCTATGCGTTTTTCTTTTATAGCCTCTCGTAATTTTTTTTTTCGCTGGTTAGAATAATTGTCTCCTGTGATCTTTGTCCATTTTCAAGATAGTCTGTCATAATCACTCCGTCTTGCCCCCCCCCCCAAACCCCCCCCCCCCCACACACAACCAAAACAACAACAACAAAAAATAAAAAAAACCCTGATAGCATCACTTTTCCACTTGATGGCTGCATCGTTGTCTGCTTTGGTGTTGGAGACGAGGGCGATTTCCACTGCATTGATGCAGATTTGGAATGACGATCATAGTGGTGGACCCATGGTTACAAGTCTTTCAAAAAATATAGTTTCATCCTTTACATACAGACCAAGCAATTCTAGACAACAATCCATACTTTGCTTTTTTTTTAGGAGGAGTCAACATGGGACTCATCTTGAAGAAACCTTGGTCATATTAAAATATCCATTAAAGTTTCGTTCAACTGATTCTGTGCTATGCCTAGTTTCTTAGCTCAAAAGTTCGACTGTCATCCAGCTATCAGACGACACAAGTTTCTTGACTTTCAATACATTCTCTTCTGTTGTTGCTGTCACTGGGCAACCATCACGATGGTCATCTTCAATGTCCATGAATCCACATACGAATTTTTTACACGAACATTTTATCACATCATAGGATGGGCAATCAGTTCCATATACAGCATGCATCTCCATAGAAAAATCCTGTAGTTGCTTGCCTTGCAAGAACTAAAACTTCATTACTGCCCTGTGCACAATTTTCGACATTTTTATGTTGAAACTGGAGAAAAACATACCCCATTCACTTACAGTGCGCTGGTGTTAAAATCAGTTAGACTCTATTGAAAATTCCCCCAAAATAACACTCATTTTCCAAAGATGATTGTTGGCTTTCACCGGAAAATTTCAGCTTTCTACCTTTATTCCTTACTTCATGGCCAGGTAAAAACTTTTGGTATGCCCCTCATTCATAACAAGATGGTTCACCGCGGAAGTCCGCCCATTGTTTCAGATGGCGCTGTGGTCTTTGTTTTGAAGCTCTCTTTCGTTTCTCCAGAAAAAGAATAGGAATAGCGCCCCCTTGCGTGCGCAGGTCGACTGCTGTTCATCAGTTGTTCGGGTTCGTTCAGTGCGGAGTTTTAGGGTTAAACAAAAATTTAATGACCCCTCGCCTCTCATTCTAAAGTCTAATAAAACGAAGAAAACAGTCGCCTCTTCCACCGGAAGATATTTTTTTCGTCAGCGTAACCATTAAAAAAAAGGGTTCTTCCGAAATTTGAATTCTAATTTATTCAAAAACTTATTAGTTTCACTTTGACTTTTTTCACACAAGTAGGGTTACTCTGTTCGCAAAGGGTGCGCTTTTTCGAAGAGGGCGCCACCGGATTTTGAGGACGCTTTTTTAATTGGCTCAAAGAGAGGAGTGAATTATCTTGTTATGTACTATCATTGGCTTAGCATAGTTTATAGTGCGGTCAAAGTAAAAACATTTGTGGCGCAACCTATTGTCAAAATATATCTCCTCAACTATCGAACATAAACTCTCCAGCTTTTGCACAGTGACTTTTATAAATTTGTCTTAACGGATCAACATTTTTGTAAAAACCTACATGCTCTATTCTAGAAAATTGCTTGATAAATGCTAATAACAAATCCTAGTGGGTGGTTTTTACTTTTAAAAAGCAAGTCCGTCATTTTAAAAAAATCGCGATATTATCTTTATTGAACGCATGTTTTGAGAACTTTTAGAGCAAAAAAGTGTTTACTATAGAATTAATTTCTTGTAACTAGTTTTGCCACTAAAAAGTGTCATTGGTGAGCTGTGACGTAACCCATATCAGAGACAGTAAATTCTGATTCGCTGTCTCTGCCCATATG